AATTATGTATTTTGAAAAAATAATATGTTAACTGTAAATATGTGCATAAACTTATAGTATGTTATAGTGATGTAAATAATCAAAGACTGACTATATTTAAAAAGTGCATATTTTATAAATATTTATTAAATTTATATATTGTTGTATAATTGAGGGATTTATTGTTGAAATAAATATTTATAATATATCGACAGCGTTTAATTTGAATATAATAGCTCATTGCTCTGCATGAATATATTTTTATTTTAGCAGTAATAGATATTCTTAAATTCTCTAAAATGTACAACTCTAATTGAAACACAGAAATGAATTGAATGACTTTTATTAAATAACCAGTGTTTTATTATTGCAACAATTGGATATTTAAATTACATATGACAATTTTCAATTCTATCTATCAATATCTCCTTCTTAATATATTTTCATAATTACATTAGCGAATATTAGCGGATGATTAGATTATTATAATAATTTATAATAATATTATACTCTTTTCTCTGTAATATTAATATTGTATATACAAATCGTAATTGCAATATTTTCGTGATAATTCTATGCAATACTTCTTGCATAAGTATGATCGAACTTATAATATTTTAAATCAAGCAACGATATTTGTCTATCAACGTTGCCTCGAGACTACCACCATTTTCCCGGCGATTAAATTCAAGATGGCGTCACCAACCGCACCGATTGCAACCCCTCATGTAATAGAGAACCCCTTGCTCGTTTATGCGACGTACTGTAAAGGATGTAGGGGGAAGAATGGTGGGTTGCGCCCTTTCGCCCTCGGAAACACACACGCGTCTCTCTATCCGTGCTCTTTTTCCACCTTTTTTTTCATTACAATACGTTTTTATGGGATGTTTCGCGGTCACGTATATGAATCTGTGATTCTGAGGGAAATATGAAAGGATGATATGCTCACTCAAATCAAAGAATTAAAAAAAAAATTGGATATAATTCATTCCTTCAGAAATCTTTTATATATTTGATTTGAATTCGTTTTTTTTATTCGATAATTACAATTGCAAAATGATTTGTTTATGGCTATACAGTAGTCACAAAATTAATTATATAAAATATATTTTTCTTTGTAAATATATTAAATATTAAATATTTTACTTCAATATTCATTTTATTATTTTTAATGAAGTATTGTATGAAAGAAAATTAAAATTTATTATTTAATTGCTTCCCTAAAAGAATACAATTCATCAAGGCGTATCTTTCTCTTAATCATTTAGGAAAATCATCAATATTTCGACATTTTTTTCTAAGTTTTTTTCTTTTAAGCCTTAACTGCAATTGAGCACACGCTAAGAAGCAAAGATTCAAAGCGGATTATAAGTGGCACGCGAATGTCAATTTCTGCCCGGAACATGACACGAATACGATCGCAACTGACAGAACTGGCTAATCCGGGAGCTGCTGCGGTAGCTTAGCGTTAAGTGTACCAGATTCTCACACGGGAAGTCCCGGTAGCAATTCGGGTAGCAGAAACCCCGCTGGGACTTTGTCAGACTCGTTGACACCCTCCTATCGACTTATAGATATATGATCGTGAGCCCTCTAAAATTTTTTTTCTAAAGTACGAATCTTTCTTCTCGGTCTCCCTTCATCTATTGTATTAAGTTTCGTAGTTCTTTTCCAAAGATACGAAACTTCATTCTCTTTTCTCTCTTCTAAAAGTTCCTCTTTCTAATAGCCAATTAAATTTCATCCTTTTAGATATTTTTCCATTAAGTACTTTTTAGAGTTTTTAAATTAAAAAGAAAAAATTCCATGGACTTTAAACTTTTTTTACAAGTAATGTATCTTATGATTTCTTCTTTGTTCCTTTTTTTTATTGTCCCCTGCAGGTTGGCAGGTTTACTGTTGATCTGGTCTGTTCTAAATCTCATAACAGAAGGGTAATCTTGGGTTAAACGGTTATTTAAATGCATCCGGATTATGGCCCTAGAAAAGCCTAGCCTAATCTCTCAGATTACAGATAATCTATTATTATTAAGTCGACTATGTCCGCCAATAATATTTGTAGCATTCTTTGTTGTTTTCTACTTTTGCACTTGCCGACAAAAACAAATGATTATTTTACTTCAAATCTTTATTTTTATTTACTTTATTAAAAATAAAGAATTTACAATTTTTATTCAAGTGTCAATAATCTATTTGCGTTTAATTTTACGACTTACTTATATCGAAGTTGAAGTTTTATGGCGCAGCATACAGGATGTGTGAAATATTTGCGTACAGATTGCAACCTTTTTTTCACTTACTGGATAAAAGACTCTAATTATATATGAAAAATTGTGTCCCAGAGAAATTAATTAATTAGTTTTCATACATAGACAGCGGTCTGATTCACGCTCAGTACTCGTGAGTATCATTTCCTTTAACATGTCCTTTAACATTTAATATTTAACAACAGGAATAAAATGATTCTTAAGCATTATAAGCGTGAATCGGACATGATCTATCTTATAATGTAATGAACAAAAAATATTATAGATACAAGACTCAATAATGGATATTTTTTTAGTTTAATTATTGGTCCAATATATCTCCAAAACTTAATCAATGTATCGTCAATAAATTGCTTGGGGATATTTCAAAGGTATACAATTTTTACTTACAGAGTATCTTTAATACATCATATAGCTTATTATATAAATTATTTGTTATTGAGTTTTATGTCTATGACATCTTTTGTTCCCCATATTTATAAAGGAAATTACAGAAATTTAACACTGACCAATTTATTATTGAAAGACAGTAATTATTTTTTTAAAGTACTAAAAATACTAAACAGTTCTTTAATATTTAAACAGTTTCTTTAATATTTAAAATAAGATATAATTACTGTTTTTCTGTACTAGCTAGCATTATTATATCTGTAAGGGTTATATGTGAAAACTAATCAATTTCCAATTTATTTACGCAGAATGTTTTTATTATTGTAACTTTATTGTACCATTTTTGTAACTT